TAGAAATAGTCGTAATAAAACAGTTACGCTGAGAATCGAACCTTCGGATCTTCGTTCTCTGTAACCATTGGCACAGGACAACAATTTAGGTTTTAGTAGCGGTAACTACCAACTTACTACAAAATTAACGTAAATATTATATTAGCTTGGAAAACCCCTATTCAATGGATAGTGGATACACTCCGGTGACTACGTTGTGGTTTAGAAATGGAATTTAATTTTCAACAGAAAAATTACTTAATTACCTACGTTTAAAAATTGTGATTTTAAGAAATTTTCAATAATAATGTCGTTCAACCTTTTCTATTTATTTTAAGTTGTTTTTTTTTATGTAATAGGAGGCAAACGGGCAGGAGGCTCACCTGATGTTAAGTGATAGCACCGCCCATGGACACTCACATTGTCAGAAGGCTTGCAAGTGCCAGCCTTTTAAGAATTGGTACGCGCTTTCCTTAAAGAACCCTAAGTCGAATTGGTTTGGAAATAATTTAGTGGGAAGCTGGTTCCACATAGTGACGGCAAAAACTGCCTTAAGAAACGCTCAGTTGTGGAACATGTAGCTATTATGTATAAAATCAAAAATGTATTTAATTACGTATATTATGTACGCTTATGATTACATTGACTACCAATTACCCAATCAAGGGAGTAGAAGAGAAGAACTGGCTGTGACTACGCGACTCTTTATAATCGCCAAGATTTGGTGTACAAATATGTATATAGCCTCGCCTTCGCGTTATATTAAATATTAATAATATTCGAAAATAATATCTATCTCTTAAAAAAATCGGTTGTTCTTCCACAGATAATATCGTATTAAATAACCTAACAGTGAAGTGTAGTTTTCTCTTCTAAGCTCGGTATTTGTCCAAAATGCGTGATATGTTACTCTGCCCCTGCAGCTTAGTATAAATCCCCATGTTACGAAACCTTCATCTTAGGGGACACGAATAGCACCTGTTGGTTTACAATACGCACCTGCCTAGCACCCCAGCTTTTTAATAGTATTCATTCCTAGCTGTTTAATGGGTTTAAAAAAGGTTATATGCTATTGATGTATATTTTAACATTTGAATTGACTGAGTAAGAAGATAGTATAAGAACCTTACATTCCCCAGCCCAACTTACACTGTAAAACGAATACCGATCACAAATCACAATGATTAGTTAATAATTAGCTGTTTATACAAAGAATAATCGCCACATATGACGAAGTCCAAGTTTCTTTAAGTTTGTTAAGGGATATATTATATAAATTTCAAGGTGCACATCCTGTTAATAAAAAACGTCCTTGCGACCTTTACATATAGTAGTACCTATCACTTGAAGGTTACATAATTAAAACATTAATAGTTGTGTGGCATTGCGATAATTATGCTAAACGGAAAGTCTTATCATTACGTTAAAATTAACATCGCGAACAAAACAATTACATTTAATTTTTTTCCTTGCATCTAGTACTTAACAACAGTCGTAGTGAAGGAGAGACCACCATTTAATTAATAATAGGTTAAATAAATGACCAGCGGTAGCTAATGTAGACAACATTTAAAAAAAATTATTCCGTGGTACCTACTTCTATGTACATCGTTTTCAGGTTCCCCAAATGCGATATGGAATAACAATATCGTATTATACGACTAGCGTGAAAGCATTAAAACTATTTTATTTAGACTTCTTAATTTTTTTGTGTTAATAAAACTTCCACAACATTGTGCAATTTCACTGCATGTACCGATCTTTGTCTCTGCCAACCATTATAAACCGCAATTGAAAAGCGCAAGCAATAGTTATACTTCTAACGTCTAGTTATATAATACTTAATATCTCAAGGAATGTAATACACTATACACAGAACACTTTACCAGTGGAAATAATTGTCACAAATGTTTGTTAGATATTATATCGTAGTGAGAGATTAGTCGACACGCATGATTTCAGCCAGTGTTACAATGTGTAGGTCTTTAAAAGATAAGAATTCTCTAATTTATAGCTAGTCAAAAGCCTAGACTCATTTATCCTAGCCATTGAGGGTTGTTAACCCTCAATACCAATCAATAAGTTACCTTAAATTAATAAGTTAGGATTAGAAATTATTTTATCATAACTAACCACTTAAATTTTGTCGGTATTGCGACGGTAAATGACAGCTGTACGGTGTTTAGGCATTAAATTTAAATTTCAGCGTCTCATTAACGTTAGGTATTGAAAGCGAAAGAATCGAGGTCAAACCTAATTAATCATAAAAAACTACCTTGTAATAACAAAACACGCTCTGAAATTGTGTGAAAACGTATGACAGAATCACAGAACTTAATATAAACTATTATCACTGATAACGAGAGTAGATTATGAAATTTTATAGGAAGTAGGCATTTATGGCCGGAGCGTTAGGGCGTAAGTAATTATCTTTAACTAACCTGCTATTCTTAAAACTGCACGATCCGCTGGATCCAGCTGCAGAATGGACAAAGGCTTGTCCTTCGCCCATTCCTTCAAGCTAAAGTCGTTTTCGAATTCCATATTTTTGTCATCCAAAACACGCAATCGGGCGCGGACCCGCGAACATACTTGAATCAATCCAATCCAGCCCTAACGTCGACAGACACATAAAACACTATAACCAATACTAAACGCAAATAGGAGGTAAACAAAACAATACTTTCATTATAAAAATGAAAATCGATACCGAATACAAAATCACTAAAGATACGCCACTGCGTATCTCGAATTTGTACACTGGTGGTCCGCTTAGCACACACTATAACTGAACACGGCTAATTAATTAACGAGTAATATTAAAGAAATGTAATAAATCCCACGGAATAGGCAAACGTTATAGGTTATTTCACCGAGCGTCTTATACCGAACCGGCGGGCAGACATGACGCGACTGTTTAGTTCAGATTATAACCGTCGCGTCGCCGCGATCGCTCAGCTGTTTCCGCGCACGCTCACACGATCTTTATACTACTAGTTTTAAAACACCAATACCCAGATGTCAACATTTATGGATTTTAGTTAGTAAAATTTAGTAGGATTATACATTAATAATCGTAGATGCTGCCATCTTTATATTTATCACCAAAGCAGTCTTGCAGTATAGAGGATTGCCATTTCTTACAAAAAAATTCCCATTTTTATTTTTAATAATTGTTCCAAATACTAAACATGTTTATATTATAACTAAATTTTTTATCAATATATTTATTCTTATTCAGCAGTCAACATTTACTTAGATAACAGAATGCACCTATTCTATTGAAATGGTAATAAATGTCAACTACTTAAGTAGTTGTTAAAATTTTGTACAAAATTTATTGTAGAACATAGATGAAAATACTTTTTAATTTCCTTACGAAATGATGACGAAATTAAAAAAAAACCATTTACAGACTTAGTTTGACTGCTTGTGCTGAGGTCGTGCATAGTAGTCCTCTTTTATCGGTTACGAGCTTCGCATTTTATTAAACCTGCTTTAAGGCTTTCCGGCCTGCTTTAGCTCATCACTATCTCACCAGGTTTATTGAGGACTGCCATGCCTTCGCTCTTCTTGTGGTGAATACAGAGATCGGATAAACCTGTGTATTTCATTTTCCATACAACGTGAAATTGAACGGCCCGCGGAAATGGTGATAGGTGGAATAGTAATAGCACTGTTTTCCACGGAACAGCTGATTTTATCCACTTTTAAGGATGAGAGTGGTTTGAAATAATGTGAAATCGACAGAAGAGATGCAAATCGAGTAAGTTTTGTCCTTTTACGTCATTAAATTTTGCCAGTGTATTGACGCAAATATCCGGAAAAGATGAAAATTTTACAGGAAATCCTCATACACTCTTACATACATTTTCTATTGTTCAATTATTGTATTTCAAATTGTCTACGTGCACTATATATGCATATATGTACATAAGAAAACAAGAACATTTGTAATTGGTAATTGCGAAATTTGGTCCTTTTTAAGGTATAAAGTTTATTTTTACTATTCCTAGGTGATATGGCTCCTTATGGTCATTTAACTCCTTAACTTGCTGCGTGCAGACTATAACTTAACTTATCTTCCTTTAACTTCGACGTCAGGAAATTTTTGAGAGCGAAAAGCAATTGGTTCACCGTTTCAAAGCATTTCAACTTTTCACGGATATTATTATTGCGAAATCTTGTTGATTGTCCATCATCCAGATAATTGACCTTAAAACGTTAAGCCTTTCAACTCGCGTGTGGCCCAGCGCTCCATGCAACCCCAACATAAGGATAAAGCTGGGAGTGGACAATGTTGGGCTTAGTATTTGAAAACACTCGCATATTCAATGCGTATTGCCATTGACGAATTCTTTTCTTAGTTTAGGGAATCTAACTAATAAAAATGTATAGTTTTCCTCTAAACCATAGGTAATGAGGCTCCTATCACCAGACACTGCCATTTTGCAGTCTGTCTATGACCTAGATTAAAATACCAGAGAACTAATAAATGGAAAAAAAATTGCGAATAAATTACCTATGTATAAGTATAACTATAATAAAAAACAATACTTCCTAATACACAAAATACAAGTTTTACCTATATTTGGAACAATCTTTTTGTTCTGGTAACCCTCGTTGTCATAGTAACGAATAAACGAAAATGTCAAAATAGAAAAGTAGCTGTTGTAAGTTCTATAAGTTTTTATTCTTTAAACATATGTATATACTTTGTAAATTGTACATTTGATTTTTGGAATTAATAGAGCATCCATGTTTTATACTAGAATCGATATTTGCTAATAATTGATTCCTATAGGAATACTATAGAAATCATAAGTCTGACAGCATGTTCAAATTAAAGTTTTCAGCAAGTTTTATCAATAAATTTGCACGGAAAAGTTATTGTGACCTAAATATGTGCTAAGTGTTGACTCCGTGACCTACATTTTGATTCTTTGTCTTTATATTATGGGAAGTTGTATTATACCTATCATGGCTTTGGTGGAATCAAAATTACCTACAGCAAGCTGATAATGGCTGAGTGTGAGCGTATCGTACAGGTTGGTTTTAATCAGGAATTGCAACACCGAGGTAGACTGGTCTTTTAATGAAATACATTTCTATATTATTTTTATAATAAAACTATCCATACTTAAAATTCCCAATCGGTGTTTATTAAGGACAATTCATATTAGTAGGTAATTTTGTTTGTAGGTATTTTAAATTTGTAAACAGATATGTTGCTGAGTATCTTTTCTTTTCAATCAATTGATTTATATAATCACTATAAGATAAATTAACCAAGTATATTTAGATGTGGTTCTTGTTACTTCTTTACAGCCACATTCAAGAAGGATTTCAAAAGACAGTAAGAATGATAAACAAAGGCTTACATTCAGTGGAAATTTTGCAGAAAGTGGTCGTCACTTTGATATAACGGCAGACAGAGACAGTATGCGGCAAGATATATTAAATGCTGTTATGATGAGAACACAGTCCCACATAGGTGTTAATCCACTTTATGAAGACCCTAGAGATGTAATAGGTAAAATAAGATATTCATACTAGTTGTATTTGTAGAATTATTGCTTTAACTATTTATTATTTATTTGTCATATGTTAGTCTATTTAGTCTATAATTTTAAACAAAATATTCACCGTGATTTTGCATTGTGATGTATTTGTATAGAAAATACGGTTTTTCACCTTTTATACAGATAAGGTAGAGTACCTGTTTAGGTAACTTTCCAATGAGTAGTTTGTGGTTTTAACTCACTGACAAAAAAAGCGGAGTAGTTTTAGTAGACATTTGACATTTATTTTTTTTGTTTTGTATACTTACCTTGTCTGTTTTAATTTTTCAATATTTTATGCTATCGTTCACTCAAGTATAAATTATACGAATAAAATTATTACAATAATATAAAAAAAATCACATAAAAAATTGGTTAGTTATGTTCGTATTTGTTAAATAAAATAGATCCCCACTCTTTTAAGGTAAAGGCTCTCTCCAGCTATGAATGAAGCTGTCTCTCTATCATTTGAGATCATCCACTTGTTGCCTGACCCGGAGTTCTCATCAGCCCATTGTATTATTGGCCTTTCTACATTCCTCTTTCCTCCTGGTTGATTCTATTTTATTGTCTCGATAATGTATTTTTTCCCCTGTAATGAGAGATGTGCCCAGCCCTCATAAATTTTAGTTTTAGTGGCTTGTTGCTTATAGTGGCTTATTTTAAACCTAAGTTTTATTTAATTAATCTAACAAATATATAACTCTATATAAATCAAATGAAAGTCCAGTTGCTTAAATTACTAGTCCATATCATACCTTCAGATAAGCCATTAAAACCGCCAAGAAAACGGAACTTTCATGCTGTTGCTGTATCTTCACCAAGATCAAAAGATAAATCAAGTAAGGAACACAAGAGAAAACTAACAAAGAAATATGAAGGTCTGGTTACGGCTTTAATGGATAAGTGTGAGGAAAATTTAATTATGGTGCGTATAATTTTAATAATAACCTACCACAACCTCTTTATAATTAATTGAAATTAAATTATTTTCTTGCATTTAATTGACTGACAATTAACTTTTTGAAGTTCTTCCTGCTTGCCGAAACCCAATCTACAAATTATGTCCTATTTTGTGCACAACTTACCCGGAAGTGTATTTTAATAGTATGAATGGTATTTGCAGATATCAGAAAAAGACACCCAAATATCAAAGCTGAAAGAAAAATTGAAAGCTATACTAGATTACAACAGACTGTTTGCAGATGAAAATGATAGATTAAAAGGAGAAAATGAAGAATTAATAAAATATATAGAAGAGTGCAAAAAAGTTATCAAAGGAGAGAGGGATAGAAGTGGCAGGTGTGAAAAGAAATGTAAGGAATTAGAAGAAAGAGTGAAGCAATATCACGTGCCAGATAGAGGTATATATTTTGTATATCTGTAAAACTTGAACTATTCCACATTGGAATATAAAAAAAAGGGTGCGTGTACTTATGTACGCGCGTAAGAAGTTATACTTCTTTGGCATTATTAAAAATAGTTTTTGATTGCATGCAAATAATTAAATAATCAAAGACTGGAAAAGGAGTCATTATAGTCAATAAAGTTCAGTTTACATATGAAAAATTTTAATAAATAAATATTTATTATCTTACATTAAGTGTAACATAAATTCTATTATTATTCGACTGTTGTTTTTAAATTATGTCTAATGCCGTAGCATCTTCCGTGGGCAACTTCATTCTGTTAATTTTGTGTGACACAACATTGGTGCGCGCGCATCGTAAAATTTCACTCTCATAAATTTTTCATAATGCGCCTAAAGAAGTATAAATTTAAAAACAAATTACCCGTATCACCTCGTCCGACGTTCCACAACTGAGTGTTTCTTAAGGCAGTTTTTGCCGCGCACCACCACTTTGTGGACTCAGCTGCCCACTGAACTTTCCGAATCAATACGACTTAGAGTCCTACAAGAAAAGAGCGTACCAATTCTTAAAAGGCCGGCAACGCACTTGCGAGCCTCCTGCCAATGTGAGTGTCCATGGGCGGCGCTATCACTTAACATCAGGTGAGCTTCCTGCCCGTTTGCCTCCTGTTACAGATAAAGTAAAGATCACTGTAATCCAATGCTAACAATACAAACTAGACAAACTCAATAGATTTAATTGTCAGTTAAAAATAATAATTACTTTAATTTATGACAAAAATAGTATTTGAATTAACCACTGAGCTATAAAGATCATAGCTGTTTTTTTGGTTCCTTTTCCTGAAAAAAACATTTTGCTGTTTATATAATATTTAGACATTGTTAGTTTTAATTAAATTAAAACTAACAATGGAGGAGTTTAATGAAGAAAGATTAAAAATTATAATAGGATAGTTTACTTTGATTTTTTTTTAATTTTATTTTATATAAAAAGATATACATAAACAATTTAACTGAATTGTGTCAAACGGTTTAGATACAGAGCCCCAAGCGATACCGTTAGTAGAAGTATGCATGAGCTGCAGTAGTCGACAGATTGTTCTGAACCAAAGCAAAGAGCATAATACAAGGCTTCAGAAAGACTTGCAGGCAATGAAGGATGTACTCTATAGGTAAGGTCTTAAATAAACAATTTATTGTATATAAATTTGTTTGACATCCTTGAATTTAATGAATTTAATTGTCATTAAAATATGAACTGTCGAAAATTACTACAAATAATAAATTAAATTTCTTCGATAATAATAGCACGTGGTATTTTAATTTATAATTCGTCATTTGAGATTTCAATAAATTATTTTGCATAAAATATAAAATACTAATATTTCATAAATTCTCTTTACGAAATTTTAACTCTCCCTTTTCTTCGACAAAAACTGACTTCGTGACGTTTTTTACAAATTTTAACCTCGTGCGTAAGTTTCACTTCAAAAAGTACCCAAAGTTTAACACATTTAAAGATCACATCAGCATCACCGTCATGGCTGGACCTCTTCCACAGTCCGCTTCATAAGACACTTTTTTCTGCGGACTAGCGAACTGTGTGGGTCTTCCCTAGAAAATACAACCTCCAATTTTTTAAAGAAAGAGTACACTCAAAGGCAAAAGCACCTACTAAAATGGGTGCGGTGACTGTCGATCGAATACGAACGATCCCGAGAGTCTCATGCAGGGCGGGATACATCTGAGGAGTGTTTTAGTGGCTATTGAGCACCCGGCTCTCTCAGTAGCAGAGAAGAGACTGGTGTTTTTTTTTGGGACAGAGGGCAAACGTGCAGGAGGCTCATCTGATGTTAAGCGATATCGCCGCCCATGGACACCGACACTGCCAGAAGGCTCGCAAGTGCGTTGCCAGCATTTCACGCTCTTTTCTTGAAGGACCCTAAGTCGAATTGGTTCGGAAATACTTCAGTGGGCAGCTGGTTCCACATGGTGGCAAAAACTGCCTTAAAAACGCTCACTTGAGAAATGACAGACGTCGAATTGATGGCCCGTAGAGGTATTTCCGAATTAATACAACTTATATCATTTATTAAAGTACTTAAAGGCCGGCAACACATCCGTAAGTCCGTGTAAGTATGGTCCATGGGCAGCGGTAAGCACTTAATTCTTAGTGCTCGTTTTCTCGTACAATTTCAAGTTTAATTTATATATTTTAGATTGAACGTGCAACTGTCTCGGTACCAAGAGAAGTTACGTACGACTAAGACGGACTGCAAAGATTTCAAGAGTGAAAAATATGAATGCTTTGATTCACTTCTAACAGTTAATTTTGGCCAGAAACAAGGTACGTTAATTGGCTAATGTTGTCACGATTTTTAACTACAGTGTAAACTCATTATAACGAATTTCAAGGGATCGAGGATTTTTAATCGTTATAGGGACGGACGAAATCATGTATGGGTTTTGTGGTAAACCAAACAAATTTAACTAATTTTTACGTTATAACGAATAACGTTATAAAGAGTTTACACTGTACTTGATTCAGGTTTAGGTAGGCTTTGTATACCTAAAGTCAGTTAGATTACATAGTTAAATGACTAACTAATATTTTTGTTATTTAACATTCAGTATTAATTTTTTTATTTGATGTTAGATGGAGAAAATGATGTAATTCAAACAAAAGCGGAAGATGTTGGAACAAGTCGATTTGTCGATATCTCAGGTTTATTAAGTGCACAGGCATTAGGTATGAATTTAAAATTAATATTAATTATGTAAATGACAATTTTATTTTATTTTACATATCTACAATTTTATTGTAATCCCTGTATGTATGATATAAAATTTTAAATTTAGTTATTAATAAAAATAGTCTATGAATAATGTCTAATGTATTAATAGTCTATTAATAACGTCTTATGTATTTATAGTCTATCAATAATGTCTAATGTATTTATAGTCTATTAATAATGTCTAATGTATTTATAGTCTATTATTAACGTCTAATGTATTTTATAGTCTATTAATAATTTCCAATGTATTTATAGTCTATTAATAACGTCTTATGTATTTATAGTCTATCAATAATGTCTAATGTATTTTATAGTATATTAATAATTTCCAATGTATTTATAGTCTTTTATTAACGTCTAATGTATTTTATAGTCTATTAATAACTTCCAATGTATTTATAGTCTATTAATAACGTCTTATGTATTTATAGTCTATCAATAATGTCTAATGTATTTATAGTCTATTAATAATGTCTAATCTATTTATAGTCTATTATTAACGTCTAATGTATTTTATAGTCTATTAATAATTTCCAATGTATTTATAGTCTATTAATAAAGTCTTATGTATTTATAGTCTATCAATAATGTCTAATGTATTTATAGTCTATTAATAATGTCTAATCTATTTATAGTCTATTATTAACGTCTAATGTAATTTATAGTCTATAAATAATTTCCCATGTATTTATAGTCCATGAATAATGTCTAGTCGTTAATATTGGCTGCTAAGTGGAGATGAAAAATAAAAATTATTTTTCAGCACCTCTGTTCGATGCTTATCAAGAAAATTTGCAAGAAAAGGAAAACTTGATAATGGACTACGAAAAGCAATTCGAAAGTATCAATAAAAAATCAAAAGAAATAGTCACAGAGAACAAATCTCTGTTAGAGAGAGTCGTTAATTTGGAAACAGAGTTGGTGGGAGTGAGACAGAACTATAAGAAACTCGTTGTCGAGAAAGAGACCGGTGATATTGAGAGAGCTTCGCTTTTTGAGAGAGCTGATAGAGCGGAGTCTAAGTTGAAAGAAGTGTACGAGTTGTACGAAGATAAGAGTGAGTAGATTTATTTTTAAATATTAACACGCATGTGAAGAAAAACATCGTGAGCAATCCTTTCACGCCCAAAAAGTCGACGGCGTGTGTCAGGCACAGAAGGCTGATCACCTATTAGATTGACAAATGATCATGAACAGATACAGACATCTGAGGCCCAGACCTAAAAAGGTTGTAGCGTCACTGAATTATGATTATCATTTGTTTTAAATGTTTCAGTGGCGGCCATGATGCGTGACTACGAGATGGTACACCGTGAGTACTTTACAGTGAAAACCGCTCTCGAGGCGTCAACGGGGAAAATGGCCCAAATGGACGTCTTGAGAACTAGAACAGTACCTGCTGACCTTCACGAAAGGAGATTGGAGGATTGCAAGAGGTAACCTAACAGTCGATTAATTTAGTCATAGCTTTCATCTTAACTAAAATAATTGTCTATGAATTAAATGTCTATAAAATGAATGTTTCTGGGAAAATTCTCTTTACACTTAGAGTTGAAAGCAAGAATTTTCGGATATTTTAATAGTCTGCTATTTGGAGCGAACATATTAAAAATCATTAAAAACGGTCCAGCAGTTCTCGAGTTATAAATATGCTATTCCGACTTAATAGTAAACGCATACATTACTTTTAATAATAATGACTATGAAATCACTATTACTATAGACTATTTATTAATATTGGCAAATATACAAGTGTTACGCTATTAGACTGATATGACTTTGACGTTGTTAATTTATGAGCTCTGTGACATAAGGACAATGACAGCTGACAGTAATGCCATTCCTCTGACATATATTCTTGAGGACTTTTCATAGACTAAGCGATGACTGAATTTAGGTATAAGACATGTTAGTTTCGATACGAAGTTTTGCTACACCGTAAGAGCAGGTGATAAATGCTACCATAGGAATTAATTAGTTGTAAAGAGAAAATTTAAAAAAAGTCTGGGTTTCAAAATCAACAGGCTTCTAGAAGAGTTAAAGCATCAATACAGCATGGACACGGAGAGGAAGAATGAGCAAATAAAGAAGATGCAAGAAGATTTGTCCTATGCGGATGAGAGGTAAATTATCTTTAACAAAACTCATTGCTTCTAATTAATTTACAATAAAGAAACATTATTTCATGTTTTGTTTACTAGTGTATATTGGAAGATAAATAAAAAAAAAACATTATTTAACTAATTTGGGCTTTTAGTTCATTCAGGTCTTTAATAATTTGTATTTCTACAGTTTTTTTAAAGTGAAGCAAAGCGAATATTCAAAGGATACATCCAACAGTGGTATACATTTAAAAAAAATATATAAACACAAATTACGGTTATAGCAGGTTGAAACGAACCGTTTTAACTTCACTGCTCTTCTTTTATCACAGGGTTAACTCAACCAACAACTAAAATAAATATATCAGTGGCGCTACAACCTTTTTAGATCTGGGCCTCAGATTTCTGAATCTGTTTCATGATCTGTGCCTGACACACGCCGTCGATTTTTTTGGGTCTAAGACATGTCGGTTTCCTCACGATGATTTCCTTCACCGTTCTTCCGAATGTTCAATGCGCACAAAGAAGGAAAGTCCATTGGTGCACAGTGCGAAACTACAGGATGATAGTCGCACCCTGAAGCCACTATCACTGCTCTATCAACCAACAACTATTGACCATAATATATGATTTTCAGATATGAAAAGGTCTGCCAGCAGCTTGATACTGTGCAAGAAGAGTTACAGGCTGCGCTGAAGAATGTTAAGTGAGTTTTATTTTTATAAATAAAGTGGTTTATTCCTGTTGAACTGTAGACAATTAACTTTTGAAGTCATGTATGGTGTAAATAGATTTAATTTATTTCCATTTTTTAATTGGTATTGCTATACTTATATGAGACAAATTGTTGACGTCAATTGCTCTTTCAAAAATTATGTGAGAAAATGTGTAAAAATTCATACAATATTTGCCTTTTTTCGAAAGCTGTAATCAAAGATTTTGTATAGATATTGATCGTAACTTCAAACTCAGATTTACGCAAGTAATTCGTTATTTAGAGCTATGGAGCTTTGTTACTTGTACGGTTCCTGGGTCATAATTTTATTTTTCCTCTTTATCAACCACTCGCGTTCATTAGAATATAACCGAAGTAATGAAATGTTAATTGCTATGAAACGAATGAATGCAATGTAACAGTTGAAGAGAGTGCCTGCGTCTGGCTATACTCGGGGCTTAACTCCGACGATTTCGGTAATCGCCACGCTTATAACTAAGAAAGCCTGAGTGAGCAAAATGTACAGCCTTGGCTCGCGAAGAATCTAAGAGAACGCGTTCCTAAAATAACTCTTATTTAAATGTTCTCTATAGGTGTAAAGTTTTAATATAGGAATAAGTAATTATTACCATTGATTTAAGATTGTACCGTCGTGCGGCGTTAGTGTTTCGCAAACGTGCACGCTCTGCGAGCGCCCGTGCAGTACGTGCCAAAAGGGTGCGGCGCGACAACGAGCCGCTGAAACAAGCTTTGGCGGCGCTTGAGAAGATTAAATCCGAGATTAAGGTAAGGCAATGCAGATTCCTTTTTCTTGCAAAATCATGTTCTTTTTAGATTTTCTTCTAAAATATGTCAATACTTTGTGCCGATTTTGATTTGCGCAAATTAGAACTTTAGAATACCAATTTTATAATATATTACAGTTATACATAAATGTATTCTGTTGAAATATGTATTTTTGTATTTCATGTGTCTGCCTATGCCCCATGGAGGAGCATACGAATATAAAATATTTAATTATAGGTAGTTAAATCTCGTGCTTACACATCGTTAGAGGAATTGGAGCGTCGTATTGTGTCACAAGAACGACGGGCGACGCACGCGCAGGCTGAATATAAGAGGTCGCTGGAAAGGGCTTCCTTAGCTCTCCAACACAAGGAGGAGATCATACGATCATTGATTGATAAGGTGGCTGATGTGGAGGAAGTAAGGTGAGGTCTTCCGAATTCTGTCTGACCCTGAAAGAGAGGTTTATTTTAGCTAGAAACGTGAAAGACTGATTTAGTTTTTTTTTCGAGACTTTGAGCGTGATATCAATTATCATTACCTGTACTGGGTTAACCGCCTAGTCAAATAAAAATAATTTGCTGAAATGAGGTATATCAAATGAAGAATAATATTTAAAAAATATGTTTGAGAATAAAAAAGTGTAATATTAAAAATTTGTAAATATTATTACATAGTACATACAGTCATAACTAGGCCAACACTGCAGTAAAAATTGTATGATAACGTTTAAATAACATACTTTAAACTCAATAGTTAAGTCATTATCTATCATAACTGTCAGACGAAAACCCTGTCGGTATAATGGCGCAGTTAATAGCCGAAGTTACAAATGTTTAGTAAAATAACTTAATATTAAGAGAGATTTATTTATTTATTTATACATTCTAAAACAATGTGTATGCCTAAAAATACAAGAAAATATGACATCACAAATTTAACACACATACACATTACATACAATACACACATACAAACAACCATCAAATAAAAATAAAATAAAACAAAAAAGAATAATAATAATAACACAACACAACAAATACAATTAAAAACTAAAATTAACTAAAAATTAAAAAGATGAAAAATAACAATAACAGTACTAAGCAAAAATAAATGAAAACTTAAACCACATTAAGAGTCTGCAAAACAAAGTTAAAAAAAAATTTGTTTTTATTTTTTATGATACAGCATACAAAAATACATACAACCGTAATTTTCACCCCTCAACGATCAACCCCTATTTTTTATTTGTTAATTGAAATCTTATGACTTAAAGTCTGATATTTCTTATAGTTTATATAGAAAAAATTTACAGAAAAACCTAAAAAGTTTTCAGGGATAGCATAGCAAAATGTTCCATGTTGGTATCTAATAAAAAGGTAGGCTAGGCATTAAGGAGAAACGAAGTTCGCGGGGGCAACTAGTATAATATAAGTGTAGATAGAACACATCATATTGTGTCTGTCTTATGGCTCTTAATTATCTAATAATATCTGTTATGGGTCGTTTAATTCCCTCATATATGGTTGAAGACCGGGCCGTATCTCCCTCCTTGTGGTTTCTTCTATCCATGTTTGCCATAGTTATTTTGTATGATGATTTAATATTTTAAAAGTGACCCTCTGTCTTCTTTGCCGATGAGTAGGGATGTCTACCGAGACAAATTAATGACATGGAATAAGTGATACCTGTATCTTATGTTCCATTTTAAACTTAATTACTCACTTAAAATACCTTTTGCAGATTAAGTCAGGCAAACGCCCATCGTCTACAAGGTATCGTTTCATCATCAGACTCGTCAAAAAGTCAAGAACCAAAAACGAAGTTAGTTCCGGGACCGGGAGGGTATTTCAAAGAGGATAAGAAGAAAAAGGAAGAAACTAGATGTAAAAGAGAAGATAGAAGGAAAGCTTCGGATAGTTGTAGCTAGATGTTTTTTTGGTTAATCTGTGAAAATTCGATTTGAAAGCACTTTGCTTGGTACTTTCGGATTTATAGATTACGTTTATATTTCTATGGTGATATAATTTGACTCTGATGATCACGAGAAGGCGTTTCATCTCCTATGTAATGTTATTAAGGTTTTCTATATATTTACTTTTGGGAGCATATATTTATAATAAAAATTGCCTTTATTCGAGTACTACATAATCAGAATTACATTAAGTCCATATATATATATATAGATTAGTTCACGACCTCATACGGAGTTAAGGTCTGCTCCAAATTCTTCCACTTGTCCCTCATCCTCGCCTTCCAATCCTTCCCAGCTATCCCTTTTATTCCATCTTAGTAGGTTTTTAGTGGGTGTCCTCTCTTTCCACTGGGCCATTCCAAGTAAGGGTGTTTTTGACCTATCTATCTGTGTGTTTTTATATATAGCGTTAATATTACAAAAAAATATAAAGGCCGGCAACGCACTTGCGAGCCTTCTGGCAATGTGAGTGTCCATGTCATGTATCACATAGCTACATAACTCACAGTTCCTTCTGTCCCTGTAACGTATTGTAACGTTTTACAGGCCCCCCCCACTACCCACAAATTCTTTACGTAATACTTGAACGCTCCCTTTGGGAGATTACTAAACATTTCAATTAACATTACTTTATCAAAACGAGTGAAAATAATGCAACAAATTCACGTTTTATCAGTTAAATCTTAATTATATAATTATTAGAATAGGTAAACCGAAAATTATATATAAAAGTATATTGTGTATATGTTATTCATAAACGCACGTTTTGTTCTGTATAAATTGCGAGTGTGATAGACAAAATATTCCATAGCTTTTTATGGTTAAAGGTTGTTACACCGTCTCGTACTATGAGAGTTCTATGAACGTGTCAGACACGGTGTCGTGTATAGCATTTCAATATCGAAACGATATTTACGTGCGTGCGTGCGTTTCATTCGCGTGTCGTACGTTGCTTCACGGTGTTAATGGTACTTTACCATACAAATAATGTTTGTCGTCTAACACTGTCTTAAGGTGCGCTTACACGAGAGCAATAATTGCTCGGGCGACACGAATGGACCGATCTGGAGCAATTAATGGAGCAATTTCAATAAATTCAATAAATTGCAATAAATTATTTCGGCGATATTGCTTCTAATTGCTCCAGATATTTCATATCGCTCAATGTCGCAGATACGAATTGACGAATATCCAATGGACTTGGAAATTCCTAGCAATTTTTGTATATGTCTCATTCGCACTTGTTTGTTTTGCGGCTTGCCGTCTTGCTTCCGCGAGGAGAGGTCTAAATAATAATAATTTCTAATTACTTTATTCAAAAGTAATTCAAAGTCTGTTCGTGACATTCTAGTAAAGTTTTTGAATAATATATCATCTTTACATAATGAAAATTTTGTCCTATTTGCCAAAAACGATCGCACCCAGATACGCCTATTCCTTTTCTTTCTTTTTTTGTTTTTGATTAATGATAAAAAAAGCGCTACAAACCGCCGCAGCAAGAACAATGTCGTCCATAGCGAGCGAAAACTGAAATGCTCGTGTATGACAGTATTGCCTAGTTGATGAAGTTGCGCCATATCGCTCAATATTGTATTGCGCAGTATTGATGCTTGTTGCCGTTGCCGTAAATTGCTTGATGTAGTCGTGACGTCATAATTGACGAGTATTGACTGGAATTGAGCAATTTTAGTTGCCCGTGTAAGCGCACCTTTAGGAATGTCATAGTATGACACGGTCTGGGTCCTTTATAGTACGTTTATGAATACTTAAATTACTAGTCGAAACTAGTCAAAAGTATTATTGAATGTTAAATTTTGAGTTATTCAAAATATGAAAATATTTTCTTTTGCCTTATCTACAATATTGTTATTAGAAAATCGTTATTGTATCGGAATTTTTAAAATAATTCACGTTGATAACATACTATAGATTATGTTATATATAGAATTATATAAAATAAAACAATAAAATATTTGTGGTGTTTTAATTCTCCGAAGATACTGTAGTGGTTCGTGCTGGGATTCCAGGCTCTATGATTGTTACTACGTGATTGCCTGCAATAGACGCTGAACAGAAGGCATTCGTACATATAAAAAACAGTTTTTTGAATTAGTGAGCATTATACATACAAGCTAGCAGTAATGACGTATTTTTCATAAGAATGTAATGTCATAATCTTGTCAATATTTGAATACGCCAACGATTTTTTTAATTTATAACAAGCTGACTCGGCAAACGTTGTTTTGCGATGTATATTATTTTAGGAAAAATTTTTTTTAGTTCAATAAAAATCTACCATACTAAGAAATAAGGGTTGATCGTAGAGGAGTGAAAATTTGGGGTTGTATGTATTTTTTAATGCCACATAATTTTTTTTAGTGACTCGAGAATTTTATATATTAGATTAAATTAAGTATTAGCTATACAAAAATAATTCAAAGCCCTAGAATAACAAAATCAAACGATAAAAGTACCAAATAAGGGCATCTAGTAGGTAGCAATACAGCTACCATTATTAATTCTATTTTGAGTCTAAGATGCCGGTTTCTTTCATTCGAGCGAATGTTAAAAGTTCATTGGTGCACAGCCGTGATTCGAAGCTACGACGTCAGGGTTACGAGGCTCACACCCAAGCCACTGCTACCATTGGCCTTGAAAGAAAGAAAAAAAAGCAATAACTTTATTATACATAATAAAAAGGATAGTTAGGTAAAAACAAAAAACCTAGCATTCCCTGTGTCGTGGGCGTCTTTTCCTTTTGACATGTTAACGGTAATTGACAATAATTTCTACATAACTCTTACATTTTATAATTCAACTATTGTTGCACGATAAGAATGATGCAGATTGTAGAACATGGTGTAATGGTTGCAGCTCCTTATAAATATTGGGTAAAACAAAAAACTTGGTGATGAAAAAGAGTGGTGGAGAGTTTATTGAAAATTTTTGAAAATTTACTTTATGTTCACAAAAACGAACCTGATTTTGTCAAATTGTCTGATCTTCACTCCCGAAATACTAGGAACAAAAATAATTTAACAGTTCATGCTACTCGCCTTCATAGAATAAGCAACTCGTTCATGGGTCAATGTATACGCTTTTACAATAAACTTCCTATGGATGTTCGTAAACTTCCCCTTAAGAAATTTAAATTTTTTATTAAATCAAAATTATTAACTAAAGGATATTACAGGATATCCGATTATTTAAATGATAGAAACGCCTGGGATTGAGCTGCTCGCTTATACAGCTATGGCTTGTGTTTTTTTAAGCTGTCTTTCACTTTTTTTTTTTTTGCATGTTGTACATATTTACAATCTGACATGTCTTGTGCTTTTGCATATGCATTTTATTTTATTCTATTGACATGTTTGTGCTTAGTGCATATTCATTTTTTAACATTTTTTTTTTTCTCTACATTACTGACATGTTTTGTGCTTAGTGCATATTCATTTTTTCTTTTTCTACAATACTGAGATGTTTTGTGCTTTTGCATACAATATTTTACACTTTGACATGCCAAGTGAATAATGTTTATATTACGATTATATTTTTCAATTTCATTATTTTTTCCTTGCTTTAAGGTACACCTTAAAAATACATTTTGTATCCATTGTAAGTGTAAACATTATGCGGGTATATCATAAACTCTTTTGCTTGATTTATAATTTGATACATTTTAGTATATAGTTATTTTGGGCTGGCGATCTGAGTGAGTTGTTGCCCCACATATTTTTATGGTGCCACTGGCGGTATTGCTGTGTACCGGGTTGTGCAGCTCCCTCAAAAATGGTTGAGCTGCATGAGCTATTCGGGGCATGCTTGCCGTCTGCTGGCACAGGCTTGCTCAGATCGATCTGGTTCTTTCTTCCAAAGACCAGTCCAGTAAATACTCTGCATTTGTTTACACCAATTTATTAATTTATTATTGTATTATCTGGACTATAAAAGAGACTAAGACCCCCGAGTTTGTTTCGACATTTCTTCTCAGGGCAGTCAGTTAGGAAATGTCGACTTCATCTAGTTTAGGATGACATTGTAAAAGTGATTTATATAGTCCTACTTGCAAGAATAAACTATTTCATTTCATTTCATTTCATTGCCAGTTCTCTTCTCTTCCGTTCTACGCCCTTGATTAAACTGGCAGTAAATGTAAAATTAAAAGCATTTATTATGTATTTATTTTTGACGTTCATAACTGTACATTGTGTTACCTAAATGAATAAATGATTTGATTTGAATATTTTCTGTTTCACTATAACACAGGTTGGAAGATGTTGTTCGATATTGTTTATACATTCACTAACAAAAGGGAATGTATAAATTATACATACTTTATACATTCACTAACAAAGGGAAGAGGCAAGATGAAAAAGCGTTGCGTGAAGAGTTTTAATTTAAAACAGTGACGTCCTTTTCAGTACTTCTTTAAATTGTCAATTAATTAACTCTCGGCTTTGGTTTCACCCACATACAACGATAAGAGAGAGAACATTTATTTGCCTTAACCATTATCTCAACCCTGACCGAAGAAGCATCTATTTATGTTAAATAAATACAATTTACGTTTTGAATTTAAAGAATGCGTGTATTTCTGTAGCGACCAAGGCTGAAAAATATTGTTAGTAATAAAAATTACTTTGCCTTTCGTAATATGTAAAATAAAACAGTAATGGGAGGAATGCTTTTGCTTTATATGAAATATTTAAAAACGTTTGAATGTTCAAATGGTAAATGTGTTATTTATGTTCATAAATAATACGTTAGGTAGGTTACCCTTATACCAATTGGTTGGGCTATGCGATGTTTTATTTGTGTGTTAATTGAAAAATACATTTGCAGACAGCTGAATTTCGATTGCATCGCCTTTAGTCATTCGCTTAACTAATTTAACAATGGTCATTTTGTTTACGTAAGCATTAGTAATCTAAGTTATTACAGTTATGTTTTAAAAT